GCGGAGGCGGGACTTGAGGCGGAGGCGGGGCCTGGAGGCGGAGGCGGGGCGGTCTCCCAGCTCTGATGGCCCGCTGGACCCGAGTTGCACAGGGTGATTTGAGGACAAGTAAATCCCGAGAAATAGTACAGGGGAGCAAGCGACACAGTCCTGGTACCTCTTGCTTCCGCGCGAGGTTCCTGTACTGCGAATGAAGGGACCTAGTTGGTACCTGGCTCTGCCACGCCTCGTGGCGACCTTGGACGAACCCTTCACCTTTGCTCAGTCCCACCCGGGAGGACTGGGTCTGTGGCGCTGTAGCTCAAGTAGCGGAGTGCTTGCGAAATACGTGTTAGGGCTTGGATTCGATCCCCACCAAGGAAATCAAGAAAAGGGAGGGGGATCGAAGGGGAATAAAGACTTCACGCCTGGCAAGCTCACCTGGCCTTTGACCCTGGCATGTGTAGGCCATGTCAGGCCCTCTGGGTTCTTGGGGAGGAGAGGATTTTCTTGGTTCTTTGATACATGAGAGAATTTGAAGAACTTTTGTCCAGAGAAGTATGATAAAAGCCAGGATATTTTAATGAAATGTCATTTTAAGAGAAATAAAGCTCTTTTAGAGTCTCAGTCTGAGCCTAAACACTAATTTGGCATAAAGCAGATTTAAGGCAGACAAGCACAGAGATTTATTTACTGTAAATTTACCGGGAATGGAGCTTTTAAAAAGAAAGACTCAAAGGTGGTACAGGCCTGTAATCCCAGCTACTGGGAAGGCTGAGGCAGGAGAATCACAAATTCAAGGCCAGTCTGGACTATACTGAGTTCAAGGTCAACCTGAGAAATTTAGGGAGAATTTGTCTCAAAATTTAAAGAGGGCTGAGTTGTCTGTTGTGGCTCATGCCTGTAATCCCAGCACTAAGGAGGCAGAGGCAGTATTGCCATAAGTTCAAGGCCAGCCTGGTCTACATAGGAAGTTCCAGGACTACCAGAGATATACATTGGAAAAAGGACTGGAAGGATATAGCTCAGTGGGAGGATATACCTACCATATGTAAAGCTCAAGGTTCAATCCTTAGTACTACAAGCAAAACAAACAGAACTCCCCATCATTAGAGCATCCCTGTCATTTTAAATCTTGTCTGCATCTATTTGTTTTGACTGAGTAAGCATTATCATATATATAAGCTGCATCTGTACATCAGGTCATTTAGTTTGTGGTCATTAGCACTGTCTCCTAAACTTGTAAGAGATCTAGAGCTTGTTTTGCTTAGGAAAACACTGAAGCTGGTGTCCTCCAAACTGAAATTTAGTAATGATTGCTTTTTCAGGGTTATATTTGTGTGCTGCTAACTGTATGACTATCATCTTTGAACAAAGATAATTAGGCATGCCTAAACTGGGCTCTCCAAGCAGTACTTCTCTGATAATTAAAAGAATTGCCACCTACAGTTAGTCACTTAGAGAGTTCATCTGTAAAACAAATTAAAATAGAGCCTTATTTATATCACTTAAGTATTTATAAAGGTAGCCTAATTATCAAATTATGGGGTAGACATTTGAATGTATTTTAAAGACACAAAAGGGAGAAAAGAACAGCAATGTAAAGCACAGGAAATGTCTTCATAGTTCTCTTAGCCTTTCTGTTTGATTCATGTTTACAAAGGTTAAAATTGAAACCCACTGCTTGAGTTCTTGAGTTTCTTAATCATAAGGAGGTTATTTTGGTTGGGTTTTTGTTTTGTTTTGTTTTTTGGTCTTTTTAAACTATTTTATTTATTTTTTTATTTTATGTATATGAGTGTATTGCCTGCATGTATGTGAGTGCACCCGTGTCGTGCAATGCCACAGAAGTCAGAAGATGGCTTCGATTCCCCTGGAACTGGAGTTAAGGACGGTTCATAGCCACCATATGGTGCTGGGAATTGAACCTGGGTCCTCTGCAAGAGCAGTCAGTGCTCTTAACTGCTGAGCCATCTCTCCAGCCCGTTTATTTATTTTTTATGTGTATAAGTATATTGCCTGAATGTGTGCAAGTGCACCCATGTCATGCAATGCACATGGAGGTCAGAAGAGGGCGTCGGATCCCCTGGAACTGGAGTTACAGACAGTTGTTAGCAGCTATGTGGGTGCTGGGATTCAAACCCAGGTTCTCTGCAAGAACAGTCAGTGCTCTTAACCACTGAGCTATCTCTCCAGCCTCCTCTGGTCCCTAACTCTTATACTTTATTTACTTCAAATACCACATGCTCAGAATTTTGCTGTTTAGATTCAGAGAATGCTTTATTTTGCATAGCACTCCATCTAGAATCACAATATCTTTTTTGCTTTTAATAGAATCATATTTGTTTATTATGTTTATGAGTGTTTTGCAGCATGTATGTAAGTGCCCCTCTGTGTGCCATATTTGTGGAGGGCAGAAGAATGTACTGAATTCCTTGGCACTGGAGTTACAAGTGGTATTAGCCACCATGTGGATGTTGGGAACCGAACCCGGGTCCTTTGCAAGAGCCAGTATTTCTAACCATCTCTCTTTTTGGCTTTTAAGTATAGGGACCCCCAAAATAAAGAGGTGGGGAAAAAGACATCATCCCTGACTCCCTGTGTTTGATAATGCCTTAGTCCAGAACCTGAGGTTACAACTTAAAAATGGAATAAAAGATATGCCTCTTGATAGGCCTGAGGTTAAAGTGTTTATGGGTTGTAGCAGTTTTATTTAAAAGGGCATTTAAAAAACCAGCTATGCAGTGGTTAGTTGCTAAGATAGCTTAGGGGCAAATGCAGTTCCACCTCTCACCTCTCCTAAAAAGCTCTTATTTGGGTTCTACAATCAAGATAAGAGAATTAAACACCTTTTCAGACTCCAAGAGCAGGTTTCCAGTGTTACAAGCTCATGGAGTGTTAATGGCTAAAAATTTCCCAATAGAATATGGAGCTCTCATCTTCCTAGTTTAGGGAGTACAACTGACTAATCAGGTGGCAGTGATTTCGGCATGTACATTCATGCCATGAATCCTTAAAAAGTCAAACAGGATTGCTGGGCGTGGTGGCTCACACCTTTAATCCTAGCATTCGGGAGGCAGAGGCAGGTGGATCTTTGTGAGTTTGAGGCCAACCTGGTCTACATAATGAGTTCCAGGACAGCTGGGGCTACAAGGAGACTCTCTCAAAAAGACAAAAAAAAGAAAAAAAAAAAAGTCAAACAGGGCTGACAAGATGGCTCAGCAGGTAAAGGTGCTTGCTGTCAAACCTGGAATCTTGAATTCTAACCCCGAGACCCATGGAGTAGAGACTTCCACAAGTTGTCCTCTACAAGTGCCCTCCACATTGGTACTGTAGCACACAAACATATGAACATGCACATGTGCATAAACACATACATGCACACACAAATTAAATGAATGCACAAACATTTAAAGCCAAGGCAATAATATGGCTAAAAAGATTACAAAGCATATACCCCAAATGCTGCCTAATTTCATCTGACTTCTGCCACTTTGGGGGCCATGAGTCACCATTATTCTACTCTTTATTTTTGACACGCTTGTAAAGTTTGTGTCTTCCAGACTGCCAGTTCCCAGTCAAGCTGATGTTTGTTTGTGGTTTTTAATATATTCCAGATGGAAAGTCTTCACTTGGCTAATCCTGACCCCATTAGGCCATGTGTCCAAGGTGCCCTCCAACAGTCTCAAATCAGCTCTAAAGCAGTTCTAGAAAAAAGATCGTCATATATCAACATCCCCTTACAGTTAAGTAGAAGGAAATCCTTGAGGGGGAATGGAATAGAAATAGGGACACCCGTGATGACAAGATGAGAGGGCCTCATACCCTGACCCCATGAGGCCTATTCCCCACCAGTTTCTCTCCTCCCTTGTTAGCAATGTGTGGAATATGCCTCTCCCACATCCCCTTACCTCATCAGAAGAGAGAAGACCTACCCCATACAGGATAATAACAGGATTCTCCAGGGACCAACTGTTCATCAATCTATATCTTACATGGGAGAACTCCCTTAAATCACTAGGAAACCTCTCTCTCTTTCTCTCTCTCTTAGACGGAATTCCATGTATCCTAGGATGGCCTTCAATTTATGATCCTCCTGCCTCTATCTTCCAACTACTAGGATTATAGGCATGCACCATCATGCCTAGTTTATGTGGTACTGGGGATTGAACCCAGGGCTTTGTAAAGCTTGCTAGGCAAGCACTCTACATGAGCTACATTCCCACCAGAGGAAAAGATTTCTAAACAAACACAGTTACCATCCTCATGACTAACAAACCTCAATCTATAGCTGTGAATGATTACACATGCCTGTAATCCTAGCCTTCAGGAAGCTGAAGCAAGAGCGAGCCTGGACTATGTAGCAAAGAGGACAGCCTTAACTACATTGTGAGACCCTAGCTCAAATAAAAAAGCCCCATAAAAAGCCTGCTCTTTTACATTTTTGTTTGTTTTTTGAGACAGGTTCTCACTCTGGATTCCAGGCTGGCCTTGAACTTGAAGTGATCTTCCTGCCTCAGGTTCTCAAGTGTTAAGATTACAGGCATGAGTCACCATGCTTGGCTGCCTATTCTTTTTAAGATTTATTTTTATTTTTAATGGTGTGTGTGTGTGTGTGTGTGTGTGTGTGTGTGTGTGTCTATAGGTATATGCACATTAATGCAGGTACACATGGAAGAAGAGTGCATCGGATCTAGAGCTGGAGTTACAGGCAGTTGTGAACTCCCTGGTATGGTTGCTGGGCACTGAACCTGGGTCTTCTGGAAGAGCAGCCAGTACT